AACTCTTGCCTGAAAGGGAAGCTCACATTCATAGGCATGAAGGTAAGGAATAGCCCACAATTCCAGGTTGAGGCGCTTATTTGCAATTATGAAAAATTGGTGACGATTTATTAAATGCAGGCAGAAAAGCATGGAGTTGGTTTGTCTTATGTATCGCCAATATTGTCATCCTATAGGCTGGTGCAAAAATAATTGTGGTTTTTGCCATTTAAAAGTAACTCCAGGGAGACAAGGCTCTCACATTCAAAAAATGAATTATCTTTAAATCTAATCAGATTAGAAAGACAATTCCAGAAACTCCAGAGCCAATTCAGAAAACTCATCCTCAAAATTCTGCTCCTCTAGAAGCACTCTTAGTACCAAAATCACTGGGGTAGAGTGATCATCCTAAACCACAGGCCCCATCTTATCACCTCCTTCCTCAAAGGCATATTTCGTAGCTCCCCATTAAACAGCTCTCCATTGCTGGTGGGATCAACTCCACACTCCTAAACATGATAATCCGTTGCCAGTGATGTCATTTGTAAGAACCAAATGGCTTACCCTGCCACATAGCCTTGAGCTTCCTAAGTTTAGTCATTTCTTTGGGTGATTTTTCTTTTACATACCCAGAAAATGCATAATTATCACATAAAAGGTTAAAATATATGTGGATTCACTCATCAACCACCTAAAATTGTGGAATCTCAGAAGAAAGACTTCAGATTGGCCCAAGGTCACACAATCATTAATAGGGCAATTGCAAAAACAAATCTCCTAATTCTAGAACCACTCCCCCAAGCTCAAGCTCTATCCCTTTACACTGTCTTTGTTTCCTTCCTATCTGAATAAAAGTGGTAAGACTGAATATTGCATTGCACGATTATATTGTGGTGTTTGTATTTAACATCTCTGTGTGACCTCCATTTCCGCCATTAGAATAAAACTCATTGAGTGCCAGGACTTTGTCTCCTTGTATTGCTATAAACCAGAGGAGTACCAGGCGTGTGGTAATGTTCAATCATTTTTTAAAAGAATGGATGAAGACTTTAATTAACAAATGAATGCCTTCTCCTTCATTGAGAGTTGAAAGAAACCAACTGCTGGACACTAGGCAGGGTTGAGCCTTCAATGTCAACAACATACTCACAGACCTTTTTCTTCCCCAAGTGAGAGTTCCAGATGAGGATCCAACAAAACATAATGCTCAAGAGAAGTAAACTTTCATCTTTCTAAACGCTCAGAAAAATAGGACAGCAGCACCCAGATATTTTTGTCACCTGGCCAAGGGATATTTATTTATTTTCTGAACTGATTCATTAACTTCCAGGAAAAAAATAACAAAATATCCTATGATTTGACACTTGAATTTGGGAATGGAGATTTCTCTTACTGAATTCCTTTCCTGGGTCATCAAGTAGAAGTCTAGTGTAAAGACATCACTTTCAGAGAGTTTCTTTTTCTTTTCTTTTCTTTTTTTTCTTTTTTTTTTTTTAATGAGACGAGTTGTCACTCTCTCACCCAGGCTGGAGCACAGTGGCACAATGATAGCTCACTGCAACCTCCGCCTCTTGGGCGCAAGCAATCCTCCCACCTCAGCCTCTCGAGTAGCTGGAACTACAGGCATGCACCACCGTATCTGGCTAATTTCCTTTGTATTTTGTAGACACGGGTTTCACCATGTTTCCCAGGCTGATCTCAAACTCCTGGGATCAAGTTATCCTCCCACCTCGGCCTCCCAAAGCACTGGGATTACAGGCATGAGCCACCACACCCAACCAGAGAGTTTCTTTTTAACACAGAGAGAGGATGGGGAAAGAGAGATCTGAGTTAGCAGCACTCAAACATAAACAGCCTTTTTACCAGCTGAGGTAGGATAGCTTGACCTTAGAAGTCTATCATAAAAAACACTGGCTGAAAGAAATTTGCAGTCTCACCTGAGAAAATCTGTTCCTGAATCATTATCAAGCAATGAGTTTAGTAATAATAACAACCACAATTAACGATGTTAACTAAGATATCTTGAGCACTGATTAGGTCCAGGTACTGTTTTAGCCATGTTAAATGGATTAACCTCATTTAATTCCCCAAAAAAATCCTATGAAGTAGATACAATTATTATCTCCATTTTGCAAACAAGGAAACCAAGGCACAGAGAAGCCAGGCAACTTGCCCAAAATCACGCTACTAAGAAATGGCACAGCAAGGACTCAAACCCAAGCAACTGGCTCCAGAGCCACACTGCTTCATCATCTCACTGCAGTTATAGTTCACTGCAAATGCCAGAAGGCAGAATGGCAGAATATAAAGTAACAAGAACTAATCGTTGTTGAGGGGGCACCAAGTGCTGGTTGCTTTACACCTACATTATCTCATTTAGTCCTCACAGCACTGTATTACTGCTCTTATTCTACAGATGGAAACACCAAGAATTAGAGGAGTCATCACTTGCCCAAGGTCACTAGCAAATCGACGACATACAGGACACACCCAGTTGCCTAGAGGTCGGACTCCAGTGCCCACATCATTATCAGCACACCATGCTCCCTTTCTTCTGGAAGCAGTCTGGTGTTCCAAGCAATCTATAAGGTGCTTGATGACACAGACAGTGGCCTGTGCATGGCATGACCTCCTTCCCACAAACCAGGCATGAGAGAAAGGCAGTGTGATGTGGCAGAATGGGCCCAGACTTTTAAGTCAAATAGACCTGGGGTCAAACCCCTGCTTGACACTTACGAGCTATGTGACCTTAGATAAAACTCTCTGAATCTGGGTCTGCATGTTTACACTGAAGGACAAAGATCATCTAGCTGACATGGTGACTCTGAAGGTTCCATGTGACCGTGTGTGGAAATTCTGGCCTCATGAAATCCTCAAATCATCCAGCCCCCTGGATCCATTTAGACATTCATTTTCTTGACCACAAAGAGGGTCCCATGAGTGCACAGGAAGTCCATCTATGTTCAGAGGGTCTGCCTTCTCCTCTTGGGCTGAGTCACAGCATCTTCTGGGCAGACACTAAGAGCAAAATTACAAAAACCTGGACTCCCCAGATTAAGAGCATGTTCCCGCAACTCCCAGCATTTGCCCTAAGAGCCAGCAAGGGCTGCAACCATACTGCAGCTCTGTTAATGAGGCTGCTAGGCACCACGGTGCCAGAGAGACCAGCAGGGCATGAAATCATTACCGACGTTGCCAATTTGGACTCACAGGGACCCAGGGTTTCAGTTGGGAATGCTGCAAAACAAATTAATGTCTTGGAAATGTTTACATCAGTTGGAGATGGTTTTGTTTTGTTTGGGGTTTTTGGTTTTTATCGGTTGTTTGTTGGTTGGTTGGTTGGTTTTGTCCTTTAAAAAAAATCTACTATTTATACTTAAAAGCAGGTAGCAGAATTTTTTAATATGAAAAAGAATTACACTAAAATTATATTGGTGTTTAAAAACTCTAGGTAATATCCTTGCTTCTCAAGCCCTTCCTTCTGTTTGCATATACTCTGTCTCTTTTGGTGCCCTCATGGTTATATCTGACATAGTTCTAATCATTTTAAATGGCCCTTTAGTTAAACACAAATGTGTAAAACCATTTTAAAAAGCCCCCAGGAACAATTCTTTATGCAGATGTCCTTTATTTGATATCTCAGTTTTATTTACAGTGGCCCTAATTCAGGGGATTGCAAACTGCAGCCCGCAGGCTAAATCTGGCCCACTGACCATTTTTTCGTAAATAAAGTCTAATTGGAACACAGTCACGCCCATTTGTTTACATGTTGTTCAAAGCTGCTATTGTGCTACCGTGGCAGAGTTGAGTGGTTGTGACAGAGACCATCTGGGTCTGCAAAGTCTACAATATCTACTATCTGGGTCTTTACAGAACTGTTTGCTAGCTGTTGTTCTATAGCAAATATTGGGGATCTGAATTGCACCAGGTATTTCATAGAGACTGTCCCTACAGTAACTAAATAATTCTCTGTGTTTGTTAATGTCTGTTTGTTCAACTACATGCAAATTATCTGAGAGACAAAAGCTTTTTTCTTCCCAGGTCCTGAGCACCGAGTCTAGCATAAGGTAAATCAATAAAAAATATTTGTTGAATGAAGGAGCTGAATTGCTAGATAGATTTTGAGCTCTTCAGGGTCACAAGCATGTCCTGGTCTTGAATGAGACCTTGACTCATAGTTCTCAATAACTGCATGTTTGCTGCACAATTAATTCCATGGACTCTAAGTTTAGAGGCTAGATACGTTTTGCAGGACATTTGGTGACTAAAGACAAATGCTTGTCCATATGATGATGAATGTTTTCTACATCACACCATTTGTGCATATCCTCTCTCTAATTTCACAAATCGTCTCTGCCTCAGCCTGATGCTGATGCTTGGCTCTGATGATGCTGATCTCTTAATTGATTTGCAAAGCTGTTCCTCTATCCTGCAGAATCCATCTGTGCTTCACAGCATGGTTCCCAACAGCCTGCAGGGACTCCACTGGTGTGCTCAAGTCCACCATTCATCCCCAGGGTATGTGGGCATTCAGCCTACTAACATTTATGTACATGAGAAACCAGGAACAGACACCATCAGATTCTGGAAAGACACAGAGAGAAGAACCAAGTGGAAGACACCAGCCAGAGGTCTCTTCCCAAATATATTTGTCATTTGGACATGGAAGAAGGTTTAATTTGCCACACCCACATTTGCCACTCCCAAAATGTAGTTGTCATTTGGACATCGAAGAAGGTTTAATGAGAAGAAGAAAGAAATCTGACTCTCAAGGAGGCAACAAGATCTGGAAAGCAAACTAAGAGCTCAGAAGTCAGATAGACCTCAATAGAAATCTAAGTTCCAAGACTTATTAGCTGTGCAAACTTAAGCCAATCAATTGATTTCTCTAAGATAAAAATTCCTTAACAGCAAAATGGGTACATTGTGATATATTTAAAGTGCCTAATAGTGACAGATACTACATAAATTTTACTTCTCCTTCCCTTTCATTGGAGGGATCATTGGAAATTTCCACTTACCTAGCATTCCTTTTTTGGAACTGGACAGACACATGTCCTTCTCTGCACTGGGCAGGGCAAAACTCACCACGAACACTTCCACTCCATCGGCCATCAGGGCCAAACCTAAGACGAAAAAGAGGATCCACTGGAAGCGGCCATGGCCACACTCATCCATGATGGTCTCATACTGGTGGGCCAACTGCTCCTCATCTTCCAGCCTCTCAGCCATCAGGTCTGTCTGGCCCCGAAGGCTGTCCATTCTGGAGGGCGCCATCTTGGCCTGCTTGGCCTTGACATCATCTGGGTGAGGGATACCCTGGTACTCGCCCTCATAGATCTCGTCTTCCTCATCATGACCTTCGGTGACATCACTCTGTGCATCTTCTTCTGGGTTGGACTCATTGCCACGGTAATAGCCATCACTGGGGGCATAGCCCCCATAGTTGTCCTGATACTTGTAGTCATCCATTCCTTGGTTCTGCGACTGCTTGGTTGCCACTTGAGCTATATCCCTCGCTCTGTGGTAGAGGTTTGGGCTATTTCAATAACCATCATGCATTATGTAGTTCAAATGTGAAATATGTTCATGTGACTTCTTAGGTGAAAGTCACACTCGTTTTCTCACCCCTTTATCTCTCAAATCAACCAGATTTGTGCGAAGACAACCTAAATATCCTTTTGCACTCGATATCTATTGGAAGTCTGGAAAGTTTCAAGCTCTGGTCTCCTTTAGAGACTCAGAAGTGTTGTGTTGGGAAGTGTTGATTAGAAATGGATCTAGCTGTTTTTCTTGACAGGGACTTGGCAGACTGCGTGCTGGCCTGATTTGTCCTGCCACCGAAGGTTATGCCCTGAGAACAGAGAGAAGGGATAGAGAAGAATGTTACAAAAGGTTGAAATTCTAACAAAATACTCTCAGAATTAAGCCAATATATTCGGTAATGCCAATGCCTCATGTGTAAGGTGGGGAAAATCTTGATCAGAGATTCAAATTTCTATCAACTGAATGAGGATTGAGTCAGTGAGGCTGGAGGCTAAGGGAGAAGGAACCGTGGTCAGAGAAGCCCTTTGAAGCTCTAATTGACCCATGAAAGAGGTCAAATCTTATGCAAGTTAGAAGAAATACCTAATGTAAATGTCAAGTTAATGGGTGCAGCGAACCAACATGGCACATGTATACATATGTAACAAACCTGCACGTTGTGCACATGTACCCTAGAACTTAAAGAACAATAATAATAAAATTAAAAAAAATTAAAAATCTTATGCAAGAATGGAATATAAAGTGGTCAAGGGATTTTCACTCTAAGATAATTTTGTGTTATGGATTTTCTATTAGAACTTATCAAGCCTTTGGCAATAGTGGAGGTTATTAGAGCTCAGTTTCTGCTATGAAAATGCCAGCTTTTCTAACTTTGTCATGAAGTGGCTGTACAATTTAACATCTAGAAATGTATGGCAAAAAAAAAAATAATAATAAATAGCTGGAAACATTTTTCTTGAGTCCCAGCTTACTTTTGAGACTCAGCATTGTGGTTCAAAGACCACTCTGTCCTCACATGAGGCTTAAACAGGCAGCAACAGGGGGCTGAGGATACAGCCAGATGACCTGGGTCTGAAACTCAATTCTGCTGCACAATGGACCATGCGACCATGCACGCATCTTTCCGAGTCCCAATTTTCTCATGTATAAAATGGGATAACAATAGTACTTATTCAAAAGGTTGTGCATAAAGTGCTTAGAATAATGCCTAGTCTGCACAGGTAAACACTATTTAAGCCTTGACATGAGTGCTGCTTTTTTCTTTTTTCTTTTTCCTAGTTCCATTTCTGGACACCAGGAGGCAATGTTGTCTAGAGTCAAGATTTCATCCTATATCCCAATTCCAGTCAGAGTCCCTCTGTTGACTCCTTGGCCCAGTGGATTCTCATTGTGCCTAGAATCTCAGGTTTCACAAGGCTTGGGGCCACCATTTATTGTGGCCTACTGTGTGCCAGAGAGTGTGCTAAGTGTATCACATCTCTTATCCGTAATTCTCACAACAGCAAAGAAAGAAAGAAAAAAAATCTGGCCGGGCGCGGTGGCTCAAGCCTGTAATCCCAGCACTTTGGGAGGCCGAGACGGGCGGATCACGAGGTCAGGAGATCGAGACCATCCTGGCTGACATGGTGAAACCCCGTCTCTACTTTAAAAAAAATACAAAAAACAGGCCGGGCGCGGTGGCTCACGCCTGTAATCCCAGCACTTTGGGAGGCCGAGGCGGGCGGATCACAAAGTCAGGAGATCGAGACCACGGTGAAACCCCGTCTCTACTAAAAATACAAAAAATTAGCCGGGCGCGGTTGTGGGCGCCTGTAGTCCCAGCTACTCGGGAGGCTGAGGCAGGAGAATGGCGTGAACCCGGGAGGCGGAGCTTGCAGTGAGCCGAGATCGCGCCACTGCACTCCAGCCTGGGCCACAGAGCGAGACTCCGTCTCAAAAAAAAAAAAAAAAAAAAAATACAAAAAACTAGCCGGGCGAGGTGGCGGGCGCCTATAGTCCCAGCTACTCGGGAGGCTGAGGCAGGAGAATGGCGTGAACCCGGGAGGCGGAGCTTGCAGTGAGCTGAGATCCGGCCACTGCACTCCAGCCTGGGCGGCAGAGCGAGACTCTGTCTCAACAAAAAAAAAAAAAAAAGAAAAAAAATCTGTATCTTCATTTGAGAGATAATCAAACTGTCTCAGAGTGGGTTAGTAACACGATCAAGGTCACAGCACTAGGACCAGGTCACTGGTCCCAAAGCCAACTCTTTCCTCATGCTTCTCAAATGCTATCCCGAGGGACTCACATTAAATCACCTGGGGAGCTTTAAAAATACAGATTCCCACAGTGTAATGAAGAAGGGCTGGTTCAAGCTCAGAAATCCAAATTTGCACACAGCTCTCTCCAAGTGGCTCTGAGGCCCCGCCTCACTGAGTCAGGTGAGTGGAGTCAGGTGAGTGGAGTTAGCCCCCCTCAGGACTAGGCGTCAGCCCCTCCTACACCCCCTGTGCTCCCAGTGCTCCCAGCTGCTAGACCCTTGATAGGGATGATGCTCGGACCTCCATACATTGAGGCTGCCAGAAACTCATGCCCCAGGTCAAACCACCTGGCGACAGTACAGACCCCATCAACCTTTACAGGCCTCCCTGTCACACCTGAAATCCACTGTCCTTTTACCATGCTCAGCAGATGTCACCTCACAAAGGATTGGACACACTTGTCCTCACCATGGCTACTTGACTCCTCCCTTTGCCCACAGACCATCCCTGGGCCATCTGCCCCACACCTGCTTCCTGGCCCTCCTGGTCTTCAGCCCTGGACAGACTCCAGCACTGAAACCCATCTGACTCAGACAACACAACGCATTTCCTTCCGAGAGGATAGAAACCAGTGGTTCTCAAACATTGCAGGGTGAAGCACCACTCAGAACATGGGCAGATCAACAGAAATGCCAATTCCAGGACCCCTCCCTGAAAGACACTGAATCTGCAGGATGGGGGCAGGGCCTTGCAATCTGCATTTTCCACAAACAACACCAGGAATCCAGGACTGCACTTTGAAAAACAGTGCCAAAGAAGCCAGCAACAAATACTTATACTAAGAAATGATTCGCACTCTACTCTTTCTGATTTTTCACCATCTCCAGTAAATAAATTTCTATTAGACCATGTTGGCTTGAACCATGTCAGATTAATATTCTAAATCTGTTTTTATTACATCTATTTAGGGACCACCAGAGGAATATAAGTCACATGTAAACAGCAGGAGAGTTTGCAGAGTGCTATAAAAACAGGGAAAGAACACCAATTGACTGAGACCTGGTGTGTTATTTCCATCCCGGGGGCCCTATAACAACGTCGTGAACTAGAAGTGACAGACTTACAATTCCAAAAGTACTTGTGGGACTCACCACGCAGGACAAAGGTTCTGGGAGTTGCTTTGCAGAAAGAAGAGGATCTTCATCAAAACTAACTCCACTCACCTGATCCAGTTAAAAGAACTGCTGTGAATGTCAAGTGCAGTGGAGGGAAGGGGAATCACTGTCCAGTGATTTTTCATTTCTATTTCATTTAAGAAATAAAACTATTAATCATTTTCAATGGTACTGGCTGAATTGTGTCTCTATAGCATGAAGGTATGTTGAAATTCTGACTGCTGGTACCTCAAAATGCGATCTTATTTGGAAATAGAGTCTTTACAGTGGTGATCAAGTTAAGATGAGATCATTCGGATGGGTCCTAATCCAATATGACTGGTGTCTTTACAAAAGGACACAGAGACAGACATGCTTAAAAGGAAGACAATGTGAAGACCCAAGACAAATGCCATCTACAAGCCTAAGGCTTCCCAACCTGCAACAGATTCTCTCTCACAGCTCTCAGAAGGAATCAACGGTGTTGACACCCTGATTCTGAACATCTAAGCTCCAGAGTTATGAAACAAATAAATTTCGGTGGTTCAAACCATCCAATCAGTAGTATTTTTTATGACAGACCCAGGAAACTAATACATTCAACAAGTCTAGTGTTTATCAAATAACAAAATCAAACAGCTATGATAAAACAACCACAAGTGCAACTGAACTGAGTACTGAGGTGAGCATTTTATAAGCAATACCTCATTTATTCTTACAGCCAATAGTAAAACAAGATTATTCTCTCCATTTCACAGATTAAGAAACTGAGGACTAAGAAGATTGAAGAATGTGCCCAAATTAACACAGAGAATCAATATCGGGCTTGGATTTGAAATCCACGTTCAAACAGAATATTAGGGATGATGATACAAAGTGAAAGAAACGAAGATGCCAAGAATGTAAGTCAAGGTCACACGCTGAGTCGCTGGTAGAGCTCACATTGACACTGAGCTTCCAACTCTTTGGCTAGGGTTTGCTCACCCATCCTCAACAAACATGTCCTGGGATCTTGATGCTGAAGCATTACAGGAACTGTGACATGACTTGATCCCCATTCTCAGAAGATTTACCCCTCATGAGAGAGTTAGATTAAAACAACACAAAGCATCATGCAGTAATAAAAATTACAATCTCGATTATTAATAACAGTATCTTCCATTTATTGAATACTTGCCTTGAGGCTTTGTGCCAGCTACTGTTCTAAGTTTACCATGTGCTTTACATCTTTTAACCTGCACAAGAACTGTGTGAGGTGGGACTATTATTGTGCCCATTTTACAGAAAATAAGACTGAGACCGAAGAACTTAGATAGATGACACAGGGTCACAGACATTTGTTCTCCAAGGGGTTCCAAAGGAAGGAGGGGTCCTATGGGCCGGGATCTGCTGAAATAGTATCCTAGAGGTAGTGGGGATGTCCAAGGGCAGGAAAGGGCTCAGAGAAACAAACAATGGAGAGGAAGGCATGGCAGGCTGGAGGACAAGTCGACACAGAGGCATGGAGGCAGGATGGCTTTGCTTGTCTTGGCAGCAGTGAAGAGGCCAGGTGGCCTACAGCAGTTGATCCAAGAGCGGGAGGTTATGGGAGATATGATGCGGAAGGAAATAGAAGTCAGTGTGAATACACTGCTCAGGGTTTGAAATTTTCTTTGAGAAAAGAGAGCCAGTGAAGGCTGTTAAACTGGACACAGCAGTGCAGTGCAGCAGGGCAGGGCTCTGGAAAGATCCTTCTCATGGGGATGTGCTCCTGGTTTTTAATAAAAATTCTAACAACAATGAAACCAGGTAGAAGCTTTCATGTATGCGTGTGTGTGTGTGTGCGCGCGCGCGCACACGCGTGCACGTGTGTGTACATGCTTGGTAATAGTCCAGAGGAGAGGTGAGGTCTGGACCAAGGGGGTGGCCATGGGGCT